AAAACACAAAACAGAAATGCGAGACATGTTTCATTCCAAGCAGCTGTGAACTAGAAATCCTCCTTTCAGAGCCCTAAAATTTGCGAGTGTGATAACAAGGATAGACTTGTGTAACTTCACTCTCCCATGTGCCAGGAAAGAGAAGATGAATGTATTATGCAGCATTTTGAAACCCCTTCAGAATAACTCACATTCAACACCTTCCGGTTCTTCTTTGATGTATACAAACCGGAGCTGCGTAGCACGCATAAACGCCGTGACCATGTTTTGTCACCCGGCTTACGAATATACAGATAATCTCGCCACTCGGGAAATCCGGCTTGTTCAATATTGTTAAGCATCATCTAAGTAGGAGTCGGACATGCAGAGCGAGGGAGGAAGGTGGAGAAAGATAAATAGTGAACAGGTGACAGAACACAATTGTCCTATTCATTCGAAAAAGAGACCCAGAGTGACGTTAAAAATCAGTGTAGAGTTGACAGGAATGGACTGCATTATGGGTCATGCAAATCCAGTTAAACACACAACAACTTTAAACGTGATTTGAGGTAGATAAAGTTATTCGTAATTGAATTGCGTCAAAAGAAAAGGGAAGAAATTTTGAGTATAGTTGGTCGACAAAATAAGGTTCGGATTTAACTCCTCGAGATCGTCGTGGTGTATTCTGCTTAAAATCATCAACTGATCAATGGCCTGAGGACAGGAAAAAAATCTGGAACAGACAAATTTAACGTGTAATAAAAAGATGCCATTACTGTGAAGTAAAGACTGGATTTTAAAGCTACAAAAAGACGAATAATTGGCTGTTCTGCTCAGCCACGATGTTGGTTGATACAGTTGGTTGATGCAGTGTTAACCCATTCACATTCTAGATGGTGGATCCTGAGTTCAAAGCCCGGAGGGACTAGTGGACATGCAATATTAATCGGCTCTGATGGGAGTGAAAATGGAGTCCAATGCTTCCCAAGTGTACGGTTAACTAAAGGAATTGAAAATTGTGCGTGAAGCTGGGGTGTGAAGGATGCCCAATTGAAATAAATAATAATTATAAAAATAATAGTCTTTTTCTTCCCAGAAGTGAAAAGACGATCGTACAATCACTTCTTAGGAAAAGAGAACCGACCAATCAAAGGTTTGCCATGAAATATACAGGACTGAGAAGTTGAGTGATGTCAGTGGAAGTCGATTGATGATATAGTAAACTTGGTCACATAACCACCACAATCTAATGACACTGAAATTGTCTAAGTACCCTAAAGGTTAAGTCGAGTAACGGTTTTATGCCTCTCTCAAAATGAAGCATTGTGTGCAGTGAGTTGTTATACCATGAAATACAATATTGCACGAGAAGGTCAACTGACAATCAAAGCAAGATACGTATTTTTGGGTGGGAACAAATTTGCAGTCGGTTTAGTAAATTCGGCATTTAGTGAGGCTCATACTTGTTCCGTTCTGCCGAACTGGATAGGCATTTATTTAAAGCCGGATCACGTGGAAGCGTGCTGACAGACAAAATATTGCTAAAGATATTCTCTTGCAGGAATTGCAGTTTTTATTCAATTAAGCGTGACTGAAATGAGGAGTGGGGTTTCACTGGTGCATGAGATTGTCTACATGAATCCATAAACAATTATGTACTGTTTCAAGCTAATGTGTATTCCTTAACCGTTTACTGCTTTCTTTTCATAGATACAGTTTTTGAACAATTAGGTGAGCTTATTGATCAGCTCAACGGTAAATTAGTCAAGGATCAGTGCACGGAATTTGTCAGGTTCAGATACCTTCCTAGATTAAAGGCTTTGTAGTTCTTTGACCGAGTGACTGAAGTTAACGAGAAACTCAATCGTGATGTGTGAAACAGTCAAGTTCAGTTTTTAGGTCCGGACATGAGGTGATTTTGGCCAATGTGATAGTGAACATTTGAGGTGGGACTCACGAGGTTTGAATTTCAAGCCGCACAATTTCTGTAGTTTTCTACCACTGACAACAATTCAGCCACGGAGCATGGAAAAAGTTTGGTTATCCTTTTCACCAACGGGAGGGAACCCACTTTATCTAACCATTTCTCTTGTCTCCTGAGAGCTTTTACTTAACCAACAGAAAATCTACCGGGGCTGATATAAGTAGATTCTACTAGTTAGCACAAGTACTAAAAGTTGATATGGCTGATCACTCATTTACAATGAACACATTTATCGCTGTCCAAGAACTGATCAAAGTCGGTTGTGGTAATCAGGGAAACCAGATTTTGGGGATTGCATTTCCTGTGGTTTACATTACTACGTGAATTGCAAGGGCAGTCTGGGTGAGGTAACGGAAAGGACTTTAGTTCAGCGTGCACGAGACAGTAAAGTCGTTTCCTGTAGCATGATCACTCTCAGTTGAACATATTCCATCTTCTTGATCAAGTGTAATATGACACATCACAGTTTTCCGGAGAGTAAATGCACAATCTATGAGAGGATCATGATGAACCATACTGCTACCCTGCTCGATTCTGCGTTGTCTCAGTAATAATCTTCTCTATTTACTTTGGGTAGTATAGGTAGAAATCGTCCGGCGATTGTTTCTAAGCGTAGACGCATAACTCCGAAGACGATTCACAAACTTCGGGTGTGGGAGATCAGCCGAACAGGATAACCGACTAACTTAAGCAAAACCTCACATAAAACTCAAGGACCAAATGACGCAACAAAAAAGGTCACGCCGTGACCTCAGTACGGACGGAAACCGCAATCAGGACGAAAGGACAACCTCCTCCTCTCCCACCCTCACCTCCACACACCAGTTCAACGGCGAACGGAGTCGAACACAGTGAGAACAGGGGACAAGAATAGTCGGTGGAGAAGAACACAAACAGACGGGCACAAGCATAACACTGCCACTTCACAGGCACTGGTGATGAAATGTTTGCAGAACAGAATACCAAACTCAGCGAACAGTAGAAATGGAATATCCCTTGAGTACACGAACAGCCGGTCGACCCCAACATAGTTCTGTCAATAGGCTGTGTCAAGTGAAAACGCCAAGTGAAACTCCGTCGAGAGATGAAGATCTTATAACCTCGGTCAGTGTTTACCACAACTGAAACATACTAACCAGGAACACACTTTTCAGCGATCGTTTCGGTACAATGGCGAAACGGAACTGAACAGATAACAACAGCCTTGTGCAGCGAACGTTTGTTTGTGCAATCAGAAAACGTCGCCTGCACGTGTTTGTGACTGGAAGTTATAACGAGGTTCAGGCTGATTTCATGAAACGGCAATACTAAACTATCCATGTGGATGAAAAAGGGGTTGCTTATACGCTCTTCCTCACCCAGAGGCAGTTTTGTAACCTTCTGGTCGAAGTATCAGTAACTCTAATTAAATGAAGGGTTCGGGCTTTTGGGGCTAACAATTAAATACAAATAAATTTGGGACAAATGCTTTGATTAACAAGAACGATGCATCCACAAACTGATCTACCATTAGCGAAAGTCAGTCATTCATGTAGTGAAACTCCGTTAGACCACTATCTTTAACGAATCGATTCACCCAAGAGAAAGAACGTCTCTTCAACTGGATCTCTCCCACAACGACGCACAAAAAAGCAAGTAGAAACATCTGTTCGTATTTTCCATGAGAGGTACGAGCAAAAACCACACATGTTTCGAATGCATCATCGTTTTGTCTTGCCGTGGCCATTGGCAACTGTGCATTATTTTCGGAGTCAGCAGAGATTGAAACGGGTGTACAGAAGTTTGCCATTATCAATTATTACCAAAAGGCTAACAAAACCGACTAAGGATGATGTCTAGCGGCACGAGGACCGCATGGCCACGCGGTCTCCGCTGGAAGCGTTTGTCATGAACTTATTCTTGGCGAAACTTGAAAACACTAGTAGAATTGTTCATCGAAGACTGTGTAATATACATACAGTATGTTAATGATCAACGCGAAATCCAACAAAACCAAGCTACTAAGCAGGCTCAACACTGACTGATAAAACACAATTCTTACTTCAGAATTGGAGTTAAACAATCGATTACCGTCTCTGGATATCTGCATCACTCGTCGATCAGATGGCTCGGTGCAGCGTCCGGTGCTTAGAAAGGCCATTTGGAAAGATCAACACATCAAATTCCAAAGCTTTGCAGCACTTCAGAAACATTAAGAGTCTGGTTGGTCGCTTAGCGGGCAGGACACGGAGGATCTCCAGTAGGGTCTCGCTATAAGACATGCTTCGTTTAAGAAGATCAATCTTTGCACGTAACGGGTATTCGGAAAGTTTAGTCAACAAGGTGATTCAGTGGGCGGAAAACACTTTACGATGCACCGAGGTTAAGAAAAAGTCCGGGAACATTTCTTTGCATTATGTAGATCGCACGTTCAAGCGATTGTCCGAAGAGGATTCGTGAACACCATCCTGATTGGCTGAACTCTCGAACGATTAAGTCACTCACCTGTGCAGTGGTGTCACACTTGTTTATTTCTATGAACTGTGCTCTGTGGGACTATACAGACAACTAACACTGACTCCGTTGGCTCCGTTTTTCGGGTGAACTTCTTAGGACAAGGTCGGCAGTGAACAGTGCTGACTTATATGCGCGAGACTTATTTCAATGCAGTATGACACAATTATTGAACTATTACTAATTGCCCGATCGGGCCAAGTAACGGATAACCAACTTGTTTTCATTATAATTGAAATCCACTATTCTTACTTAGACCTTGAAAACGTATTCCTTTCTATCTATCTGTGGTTTGAATAACGAAGCTGTGCGTGAGTCTGAAAGCTTATCCGAACAGACAAGGCCAAATTACACACGGATGCCAACCGGATGCTGACGAGTCAGATAGGCGAACGGTCGAGGTCACTGGAATGACACTATATTAGAGGGGTCAAACCATCAATCCTCTCGTTTGTTCTCCGTCCGACGTATTCATCCGGTAGCCAAATGTGGACAGGGAGTAAGAACTACCATTGTGTGCATAACCACTCACATTAGTGTATCAGCTGTCAAAACATGCTGAAAGAACGAATTGGGGTTGGATGAATCATCGTCATCATCGACAACGACGACCTTGTCAAGGAATGTGACAGGCAAGTATTGACCGTTTGATTTACTGAAGAAAGTGATAGATAGATCGGGGGAGAATCTACCCTCACAATGCCAGTCAAATTCACTGTCTTTATCGATCAAATTACCGCGTGTTGGAACACAGACACAAACTACACTGGGAGCGAAGGATTTTACCCTTTATTCAGTCACCTGTCCTGTAAGTTCAGTCTTGGTCTCATCATTTCACTTCTTCTTTAGTAAGTCTGATTGCGCCTTTGTGAATCCGCTGGGACTGGAATGGGGCGGGAAGCACGAGGTTCATTCAAAGTAGTGAATATGCATGCAATGATCTAAACTGGCACAACTAGAATTCTGAAAGAAAAAATGAAAACCAAGCCTAAAAATTTCGGTATTTCTACACCTGTTCATATAGTTCAACCAGTAGGACTCAATAACAGGTCTTATGAAATGGTTTCCTGATTGAAGTTATGCCCACTTGCGGCGTTGAGGACTAAATTACTATCTGACTCGTCTTGAGAACCTTGCAGGAATTAGAGTCATATCTGTTTGCCAGTAGAACATGAATCCAGATACTGCGATTTGTGGCATATTCGTTCGGTGGCTATTCGCCTATGCGAGATGTAATCCCGTGTGAGTGGTTAGAGCCAAAGCAAGTCTTAAGGAGTTTTGTACACTCAAGCTGAACGAATTGTTAGCACGGATATCTCTCATATCTTTAACCAAAACAAGAGCAATGTGAAATGCTTCAATGAAGTCAGAGGATGTAAAAGGAGTTTCTATGCCAAATTACGGTTATCCAGAGATGCAAACAAGGAGAGCACATTCAGCAATGAAGGATGATTTTAAAAAGTTTCAGAAGTACGTAAGTAGAAGGCGCTGATCATATTCAGTGAAAATAATCTAGAATGTGTTTCGGTAATCAGAAACGCTGCCAGAAGAAATGCATGTGAGAAAAAAATGTACCGAATTGAATAAATTCACCCACGATGACTTATATGGAGTTATCAAGACAAGCCGCACAAATGGGAAGAACTTGAGTCACCAAAAGCTGCATGAGTAGATACAGGGTGATTTATCGAGAAGTAAGGGCTTGCCGAAAATATATGGTAAAAGTGACTAAGGAAGTAAGGCTTACAACGAACAGCAATACAGTTTATTTGTTGTAGTACCGGAGAAAAACGAAACACGTGAAATTTTATAGGACCACTGATTGCTGAAAGTGGAAACTCAGAGGACGGTTACACCTGAACGATCCAAAGCACTAATTCAAACAACATCATTATCTATGCAAGCAGCTTTCCTGTTGCAAAATACTTTCACACTTCTGCATACAGACAGATGAAGCAGTTTAGATACATCGTTAGGCTTACCCAACAACGAGCAAATGCCACTAGAAACTACGGATGAGACGCTCAAACTTTTTTCCTGATCTTACATCTAATCATAGCGACTTACTAAACTTACCATTTCTTGATTTGTTTTTTTTATTACACACCAGTATGTGGGGAACAGCAGTCGGGTGCGGACCCCATAGTCACGAAGACCTGTTGTTTAGTGATGGTAACCGGCAATCTAAGCCCTGGGGCTTGGAGTGGCGAACCACATAAGGCCTTGCTATCTCAGGTGTGATATATAGCCAGGCGACAGCAAAGCTGTCTACCCTGAAACTTATGTACCTATCCTCTAAATTGATTTTGAACGGCATGCATGAAAGCAGAAAACAGTGAAATCAGGCGTATAGGTTTCAAACCAAAAGGCTCGAGACACAGAGTTTGACAAGCAGGAATTGCTCTTTAGTCAAAAAATTGAGATCTACACGAAAAACACGACAATCCTTTTTAGACAAACATCGAACGCATATTTGCTGGCCAGAGAAGCACAACCTTGTTTCAAGCGTGCCGCCACAAACGGATGCAACACTGACGGCCTTCGATAGGTGCAGAGTGAACACTTATAATGCTTCTCACATACTATCTTATTACACCATCTACTACCATCTCCAAAAGTAACGCTACATCTGTACATTTCTATTGATGATAGGGCATACTTCAGCTAAACAGATCACCCTTTTGGACACCAAAACATACGGACCACACTTGAAGCTCTTTCATCAACTCCCAGGATATTGTCGTAAACCTAGCATGAGAATATGTGGAAAATGAATCATGATAATTCTTTCCGGTAGATGCAAAAATGACTATTTTCTGCACGGTGATAGTTTAGTTTTTGGAGAAAAATAGACGATAAATTCATTTTAAAGAGATTCTTGTAGGTTTTCCCATAACATTTTTTCCATCTTAGCATCAGAGTGCGCTTCCGGTGCACTGAACGGATAGGAGCGTTTGTTCAGCACGACAAACACATAGAGACCGTTATTCGCACCCGGGGTAGGCCGCTCAGAGCGCAGCTAGTTTCTGGGAGGCTCTTGGTTTGAATCTATGGAGAAGATGTTAGCTAGCAACTTGAATTGCTCAATCTGTATGAGAGGTACTTCCGGAACATTATCCTTCGAGGCACGGAAAGAAGAAGGATCCGGAAGTCAGTGGTCATTATTGAATTTTGTGCTCTATCTGTGGAGTAAAACCTTTGTGATATCTCAAAAGATAAGCCACAAAGTACTTTAAAATTAATCTAATTAGGCAGCATTGCCT